GCACCATTCTCTTTGTCCTAGTCTGGACAATGCCTTCAGATCAACAGCAGGAAAACTCCCACCAGGGACAAACCAACCCTTGGCCCGGGCGAGAGAGGAACCACCCAGCCAGAGGCTCAGCTGAGCTAGTGACTCAGGGAGGAGCGTACCATCTTGTAGTCCCGGTGAAGCTTGGCGTACTGCCACATGTTGGCCAGCAGGCTGGACGCCGCCCTGGAGGACTTCTCGCTGTCCGAGCTAGGGCAAACACACAGAGGACACAATGATGCTCTTTGCTCCTCTCCCACTAGAGTCCGTCTGGCACCGTGGGGCTGTGCTCTGGGAGAGGCACTATGAACAAAGGCTGGGGATTTGGGGAGGGGGGAGCGGAGAGGAGAACCAATGGAGTACGCCAGGACCAGATGGTCACTGCTCCACTCTGAGGGCCCCTCACATAACCGCCATGCTGGGTGCGGCTGGAGAAGTTACTGACACATGGGACAGCTGATTCCTGGGAAGATAAGGCGGGGGGACTAGAAGTGCCCATACACATATCGGGGCGAGGGAATTATTCCCCAAGGTGCGCTCCTCTGGTGTAAGGACCTAGGATGACTCCGTGGGAGCAATTCCTGGTGAGAAGACACACTCAGTGGTCCTGGGGCAGCTCTTAGAGTGAGTAGCAGGGACTCTGACGGGCCCAAGCTCAGCAGGGGGTGCAGTGGCAGGAAGTCCTTTGCCTGCCACCAGACTGGTCGGGAAAAGGCAGACCAGGAAAGGGGTCTCAGGCATTGACCTGAGCTGAGCTCCTGGGTGCCGGGAGCTGAGGGGCAGGGCTGAGGGCGGCCTCACTGGGCTGGCTCCCACCTGTCCCTTTTCTTCTTGATGTAGAAGAGCTTCCGGAGGCCGTCGAAGTAGACGATGTCGCGGGCGGCAACGGAGCTCCCCACCACCAGGTTGTTCAGCACGGCCACGATGTTCACGATGACATCGGCCGGGGGCTCCTTCTCGCCCACGCTCCCGGGGAGCTTCTCAATCAGATGGTTCACCACCTTGGTTGCTGCCGAGGCAAACGGGCTGGGGTCAGGGTTCGGCACGGTGGGCGGGGGCCAAGCCTGGGAACCGCGCAGCCACCAACTTGGAGAGGAGGTAGCCAGCGGCCTGGCTGACGGGCGAAGCCAGTGGGTGCAGCAAATGGCCTAACGCAGCAGCAGCGCCACACAATTCCCAGCTGGCACCAAACGGAGGGGGGTGCAAAAGCCAGCGAGGACAGAGCCAGGGCTGTGCGTGGCCCCGCCCGCGGGACAGCTGCAGGGCCCAGCACCGGGGAAGCTCAGACGCACAAGCAGACAACAGATCGGGGCTCAGCTTGGGAAATGCTGCTGCAGCATCTGGGGCGAGCCAGTGGGGGGCCTGGACATGCCGGCAGCCAAGGAGGGCGAGAGGCCTGGCGTAGCCGGGAGCCATGCACTGTGTGTTCTGTCATCACGGAGATCACACCCGCCCCGGCAACCTCTGGGCACATGGCAAAAGGCGGCCAGTGCTCGGCTCTGTGCGCAGAGGGGTCGTGCCCTAAGTTCCCTGAAAGCTGCATGGCCAGGCAACCGGCTACCAAGGGCTGGGCCGGTGGGGAGAGGAGCCCCTCCCTGGGCCCCGCTAGACTGGCTGCGGCTGGGGAGAGGTGCCCCTCACCTGGCCCCAAGATGCTGTGGTGAGAGAGGATTGGGATAGTTATCTCTTCCTGGGGCAGCCTGCCTGCACCCCAAACTCCTATCCCCAGCGATGCCTCAGAGTCGTCACCCGCAGCTGGAACCTTCCCCCCAACCCGCTGCCCCCGAGCTCCCTCCCACACTCCCAACCCTCGGCCCCAACCCCCTACACACCTCACCTCCATATTGGGGCACATACCAAACCTACTCAGCTGTGTTTGGGCCCCCCTGGGACGACCCCGGGGAGTGAGGAGAACGAGCCAGGCCTGGCTGGCCCCAGGGAGAGCTGTGGGGACGCTGCCCCTGAGAGGAAAGGGCTCCCAGACAGGCAGCCTTTGGCGCTAGCCCCTCTGCCCCCAGCTGCCTTGCCCTGGGCTCTGGGCTCTCCCCCGGCCCCGCCCCGGCACTCACCCATCTCGTCCTTGTTGCGCGTGTTGCGGGACAGGTTGCGGATCAGCCCGGTCAGGGAGCGCAGCTGGTGATGGTCGGCCGTGCGGACTCGGTCCAGCACGGGGTTCAGGATCCGCTCCTGCTCCAGTGCCACCCTGCTCAGAACCCCGGCCCACTGCGCGTGGGGGTTGGGAAAGCGAGCGTTACAGAGTCCTGCCTTTCGATACCGCCTCCTTCCTGGCCCAGGTACCCCCTCAGCACCCAGGCATCCACCTGGCTCTGCCAGCAGCCACAGCCCTTTCCCCAGCCTCACTTGGCCCCATTCTCAGGGTGGGGCCCCCTCTGGTGGTGCCTTCCCTGCCCCCTCACACCCGTACTTCACCCTGCCCCGCAAGTGCTGCCCCGGACACAAGTGCGCCGCAGTCGGGCGGGCTACAGGCACGTCTGCTCCCCGAATGCTACCAGCTGCCAGATCACGGTGGGCCCTGGGGCACGAGAGCAGGGCTGGTGGCATCACTTCCTAGAAGGTGGGTACAGAGGCTCAGCTCAGCCTGACCCCTCGGAGCACCAGCCACTGCTGGGATTTGGGTCCTTCCCCCCACCCCTCTGCTGCTCCCTCTTCCTTTTTCTGGGGCATTTCCCCTGGTGCCAGGGAGGGCAGGGGCCATGCGCCCACCCTAACATACAGACAGTGACATGGGCCACCACGGTGCCCCATGCTGGCAGAGGGGACCAGAAGCCCAGGGGCTAAACAGCCCCCCTGCACTGCCCCACCATGGAGTCCAGCCTCGGGCTGAGCCTCTCTGCAGCGGTGGCCTTCGAGAGCCACGTCTGAGCCAGAGCCGGGCATGGGTGGGCAGTGGGCACTGCTCTTCTCGCTAACCTGTCACACACCTCCCTGGCCAAGGGAAAGACCTCAGCCTGGGCCCGTCCCGGCGCCCAACCTCACCCGCCGGTCTCCGGCCGTGATGTTCTGCAGCGCCCCCGAGGCCGCCTCCGTGGTGTGCTTGTTCAGCTCGCAGCGCTGCAGCAGCCGGTTGTAGATGCCCACGATCTGCGGGTTCCAGAGCCACTCCATCCCCTTGGGGTCCTTGGAGACTTCCGTGAAGGTCACCAGGTCTGTGTTCATGTGCTGGTGGGTGGGGAGAGGCCATCAGGAAACAAACGCAGCCCTACAGGAGGCCCGGCTTCCCTCTCGCCTCCATCTCCTCCCCTATGTGTCCTTCCCTAGCACCCCCATCTCCTCCCTATCACCCGGGCCACCAGGAGCACCCAGCGCCTCCCTGGGTCTGTGACCTGTGTGCTCAGCCGGCCGTGCAGGCGCCTCCTGGGAGCCTGCTAGAGCCAGACACACAAGTATGTGCGGAACCCGGCTGCAAATGCCAACTTCTCTCATGGGAACTGCTTAGGCTGACTCCTATGGCTTTTTTCTTCTCAGCCTGTGTGACAGGCCCTTGCAGGGCTCACAAAGGGCTGTGTCGCCCACTGTATCCTACAGGGCAATGGGGAGGTGGGAGTGTGTCTCATAGACATCTCACACTCACACAGGGCCTGAGCCACCGTCCACTGGAGCCAAGGAGATATGCACCCTGGCTGCCATGGGCTGAATTAGCTGGAGTATGGCTTTTTTCTTCTCAGCCTGTGTGACAGGCCCTTGCAGGGCTCACAAAGGGCTGTGTCGCCCACTGTATCCTACAGGGCAATGGGGAGGTGGGAGTGTGTCTCATAGACATCTCACACTCACACAGGGCCTGAGCCACCGTCCACTGGAGCCAAGGAGATATGCACCCTGGCTGCCATGGGCTGAATTAGCTGGAGGAATTATCTGTTCACCAATGTTCCCTTTCATTTTTTCCATCCATGAGCGGGATACATTTTGTTAGATGCACCGAAGCACATGCAGGTGTGCACCACCAGTAGAAACACAGGCTGCCGACTGAGGGCACTCTGCTAATCAGCTGGGCAGCCCCTGAATTTCTCCTGGGCAGCTGCCCAAGCGCTCAGCTTACAGGGAACACCGCTGCTCGCCCCTCATTGTAGCGCCCCAAGACATCACTCAGTGGTCACGGCTGATTCGAGCCCCTCCTGCTCCTCCCATTGCCGCACACGATGTGCCTTCCCCCCGTTCTCACCTCTCGCGTTCTCCTGCCCTGGGGACTGAAGCAGCCCACCAGCTCCCCTGTCCCAGCAGTGTTATCGCCCCTCCGGTGCCCCTCCAGCCGCTGCAGCGAGGAAGGGGGCATCTCGTCGTACAGGCGATAGGAGAGGTTCCGCAGCACACACACGGCGTTCTCCACACTCTGTGGGTGGGGGAGGGCAGGTCAGTCCCAGCGGGCTGGCTGTGCAGAGCCCACATGGCAGAGCAGCGGTTTTCCAACTTTTTTTTCTCACAACCCAGTTGCAGAAAATGCTGGATGCTCGCAACCCACCAGAATTACATCTTTGGCCTTGCGCGGGCTCCAGGGTGGGGCTGGGGGGCTTGGGGTGCAGGAGGGGATCCAGGTTTGGGGGGAGCTCAGGGTTGAAACAGGGGTGGAGGCGTGGGCTCAGCGTAGCAGGTCCCAGTCAGTGGTGGTGATAAGGGAGGTTTCAAGACTGGCACCGCAGGCCATGCTGCGCCCTGCAAGCAGCCAGCAGCCAGTGCACAAAACAGCTCTGGGCATGGCTCGCCTCCACGGGCACCGCCCCCAGCTCTCATTGGCTGGGTCCTGGCCAATGAGAATGCAGAGACGGCACTCAGGATGGGGGCAGCGCATGGAGCCCTGTTTCTCCCTCCTCCCGCCGAGGAGCCAGACCTGAGCTGGCTGCTGCCGTGGCGCAGTGCGATCTGCGGTGCCAGGGCAGGCAGGGAGCTGCCTTAGCGCCCCGCTGGTCACCTGGCCACCCTGCAGCAAGGTGACCCAGTGCCTGACATGCCAGTCCTGGGCTGCGACTCGTACTTTGAAAACCACTGGACGAGAGCCTGGGCCCAGCCAAAGAGGGGCTGGGGACAGGGCCTCTCCCCAGGGCTGGGTTAATGCTCCCACAGTGCCACTGTGCCAACAAAGCCCTCAGCCAGGCGTGTCTAAGGGGCCCATCTCCCTGGTATCCAGGCTCGGGGTGGCCCACGGTCAATGAGCTGGCCCAGGGCTCCGGGAAGCTGGCAGCTGCTCAGCAAAGGGCTCTGACAGCGGCAGCTTTAGGAGTCTGGCTGCCCATGGGGCCTACACGCCTGCTCTCCCCAGCCCTCACTGCACCTTGGAGCGGCTCCAGGGCACTCTGCTGCCCCGGCCTGCTCTCCAGAGCCATGACGAGCTGCAGGCTGGCTGGGACAGGCCCTGCTGGAAACACCCCATTGTTCTCAAGCTGGGGTGACACGGCCCAGCACCAGCTGCAGTCAGACCCGCCCTGCAGGGGAGTCTGGGGGCTGGCGGAGCTCAGGGTGGGTGCCCATGCTGTGCTGCTGGGGGGTGGAGGAGGTCACCTCCTTTGGGGCAGAGCCCAGTGAACCTCAGGTGTGTGTGCGGGGGACGACCAAGGAAGCTGGCCCTGCAGTGATGTCCTGCTCAGAGCCAGGAGGAAGCAGCAACAAGAACAGACCCTGCCCCACCACACTGAACCGTACCCCACCTAGGCTGGCAGCTCTAAGCAGTGGAGACGAGGGTCTGTAGCACAGAGGGGCAGATGCAGACTCCCTCCAGGGACTCACCTTGTCCTCTGACTTCCCCACCTCCAGAGCTCTGTTGATGTAATTGATCATGGAGTCCACCAGCCCGTGGCACTCACGCATCTTCTGCCGGGTCTGCTGGCTGGCAGAGCTGAGATTCCTGCCGGGGGAGCCCAGGGCACAGCGTGACCCACACGCCTCTGGGGTGCGGCGCACTGTCCTGTCTAGGGGCACTGAGCCCACTTACAGAGAGAGTGATGACTCTGCTCGGCTGCCTTAGCCAAGAGCCAGCCGGCTTTTAGCCCCTGCAGCAACTCCTGCACTAAGCCCCACAGGTCCCAGGTTTGGCTCCGCCTGTTGGCGTCACACAGCAGTGTATGGAAGAGTCTCCCATACCCCCAGACTGCTGGGATACCCTCCTCTGCCAGGCCAGAGCCCCTGCCCATGTAGGGAGGGGATCCTATTTCCAACAGCAGTCGATGCTGCCAAGGGAGATCCTGCAGTGTCCCTATTCCTGAGCTAGGCTTTGCTGCCTGACCCTGCCGGCTCCCCAGTTCCTGCAGCATGAGGATGGCAGGGATATAGTAGCCTGCCCAGAGGGTGTGGCCTTAACACAGGGGAGCCAGAACCACTACTGGCACCTAGAGTGGAAGGGAGAAAGCCTCCGTTGCTGTGTGGCCCAGAGCTCTCCCAGCCTGCGTGGCTCCGTGGCCAGGGCAGCGGGCCGGCTCTCCGTGCCCAGGAGCTGGCCGCACCTTTACCTGAGGAAGCCTGTGGAGTTGTAGAAGATCTCCGCTTCCGAGGCGTTCTGCTGGATGATGGCGGCGCTGCCTGTGCCGGAGAGCGGGGTCAGGACCAGGTCGGTGAGATGCTCCAGCGTGTCCCGAGCCAGCCGGTCCTTTAGGGTGTCGCTGGAGGAGAGATTCCACAGGATCCCTGCCAGCCACAGAAAGCAGCACTGAGCAGCCAGGCTGGATGAGGCGCTGAGCCATTTGCACTGGGGTTCACGCTCCCCTTCCTCTGACTAGACTGCCAGGCTAGCTGCCCCGCCAGGCTCCCCCGCTCGCCTGGCTCCAGCAGCAAGGGAGCTCTGCCCCCCTCACCTGAGTCACTGAGTCCCCCCAGACAGCCCACAGCTACCAGCCTCTGACCTGTCACTGTGGGAACAGGCAGCCCTCAGAGGACTCCTCCAATTAGGGATGTGAATGGGTAACCGGGGGATGCTTATGGGTAATGGTGAACCGGCACCCGGGAGCAGCCCCCACCCGCAGAGGGCTGCTCCAGTCCCGCTGGGCCGACTGTGCCGTGGGCCAGGGAGGGGGCTGGCAGCTCCCTGCATGGGCCCGGCAAAGCTGGCAGGCCCATGGGCTGGGCTGGAGTGGTCACCCATCTGGGATCCTGTTTAATGGGTTAACCAGTTAAACCTCACTGATTACATGGGATTTTACATCCCCACTCCCGTTGGAAGATACTCCAAAGCTCAGAAACACCCATGCAGGGACCCCCAAAATGGCAGGCATGCTGCACTCTGCACCGAATCGGGCAGGCCCCATGTGGATGGGCAGCCTCCAGGGGGTGGGGAGGGTCTAATTATCAGCAGCTCCAGCGACACCGACACACAAGTATCAGGCACAGACGGCTGGGAAGGGAGACCCGCTGCCCCGCAGCTCCGAGGAGCAGCCAGTGCCTGCCACCGGCTGACTGATAACCCGCAATGGGAGATGGGAGGAGACAGACGCAGTGTGAATCCAAGCTGTGCAGGGACCTGGGCAGCGGCGCTGGGGCGCTGCTCCAAGAAACACCCAGTTTGGGGGGCGGGTCCCAGCAAGTTCCCAGGAACGTGTCAGAGCAGGGCAGCCCCTCAGGCTGGTTACGTGCCGTGTGCTGCAGTCCAGAGCTCCCCAAAGCCTCCGCGGCACAGCAGCTCCCTGGCAGGAGGGAGGGAGGCGTCTGGCTGCCCCGCTAGGGCTAGGAGCGTGGCCTGGGACGCAAGCCTGGTGCAATTCCCAGCTCCACCAGGACTCTCCCTGTGCCCCAGGGTAGGTCGCCACGTGAGGCTTTGGGTCTGAGCCCCAGCTGTCAAATGGGGCTAATACCTCCCCGGGCTGCTGTGAGCCTGCCTAGAGGCACTCAACCCCACAGCCCCCCCACTGCTCATGTGTTAGGCCCCAGATTCCCTGGCTGAGGCTCTGCGCAATGAGGGCCCAGCCCCATGGGGGACAGCTCTGACCTCCCCAGAGGCAGTGCGACCTGCCGAGGAGGCCCCTGCCTGCCAGGCACTCCCTGTGTGCAGGGCTGGTCTGCCTGGGGTAGTGTTGCCTCCAGCTGCATTTAACTAAAACCATGTTCACAGACTCCATTACGCTGCATTAAGCCCTTCGCATCACTGGGCCCGGCTTCCCCATTAGCCCTGGTATTAGCTGAGACAACCCGAATCTGGCAGGCAGGATTAGCAAAAGCCTTGGTAATGAAGGCAACTGTGAGCTCTGCTATTCCTGCCAGCCAGACACAGAGCCAGGTGGAGCCTGGCCCCTGGCCACGGCTCTCGCACACCCCTCCCACCCATCCCCCTGCTCCCTCGGCTCTCTCCAGCAGCCAGGCTGGCTAGGAGACGGCTGTCTCCCTCCCCCATCTCTCTCTGCCTCAGCCCCACCTCTTAGCAGCAGGCTCCTGGGGTGTCGCCCCACCTGGTTACCTAAAAGGAACAGCTTCCCTTCTCATGCCAGGGCAGCCTGGCGGGCTAGTCCCTCCTCCCACCTGCCGGGCAGGACTGTCTGAGCTTCCCAGCCACCCAAGGGCCTTCTTTCCTTGCTAGAGCCCCGCCTGGTCCCCAGTGATAAGACCTGGCTGTTCAGTAACCAAGGCTGCCTGTCCCTTGAGTGCCAGCACCTGAGAGCAGGGTTCAGGTGCCGGCGCTCTGGCACGCCCAGGGGCCCTGACGGCCGGTGTCAGCACCAGGCGGGCAGAGGGATCTGCGCTCCAAAAACGGAGGCCTCCTGCTCCGCCAGCCCCCTCTCCCTTGCTGTGCTCCCTGCCCTGGCTCCCCGGCCTGCCTCAGAACAAGGCCAAGTAACCACCAGGCCTCAGCACTGTCCAGTCGAGTCACGTTGGCCCCATCAGCTCTAAAGAGAGCGGAGCCGCCAAGAGGGCCTGGCACAGCCCCCGCCTCGCCGGCACTTTGTACGCAGGGAGCCTGGACGGTTCCACCCCACAGCGCCTCCTGAAGGAATGGATTCCCCGCACCACACTCCTGCGGCGCAGGGCCGGGCTATTTACCCCAGCTTGGGAGTGGGGACCTGCGCAGAGACCAAGGGCTAGAGCAGGGGTGGGCAAGATACGGACCTTGGGCTGGATCCAGCCCACCAAGCCATTTGATCTGACCTGTGGCCGCCTTGCCATGCCCCCGCCCCTGAGCGGGGGAGTGCGCAAAGAAATGTGCTGTTCAAAATGGCTGGCAGCTCCCCCCCCCCATCCCTCCTGCCAGGGGCTTATGGAGCCTCATGGGAGCTGCCGGCTGCTTTGAACAGCGCGTGACTTTGCGCACGGCCCCACCCACAGGTCCCGTTTGGCCTGAGAGCCGGGGAGCCCACAAAGTCTCCTCCCCCTGTCAGGGCGTGGCGCCTAGAGGGAACCACTGGCTGTTCAAAACCCCTGGCAGGGTGAGGGCAGGGGACGAGAGACTTCACGGGCTTCCCCGCCCCCAGGCCTCGATTGGCCGGGGACGGGGAAGCATGCAGAGTCTTCCCTCCCGCCAGGAGCACGCAGCACCTAGAGGGAACCGCCCCTTCCACCTGAGAAGGCCCAGCCTGCAACCACTACCAAAATTAGTGAAGTGATCCTCCCTGCAAAAATTACTGCCCACCCCTGGGCTAGAGTCACACAGCATTTCGGGGCCTAGTGCTCTTTGAAAAGTGCCCAAGGTCACACAAGAAGTCTGAAGCCAGGTCTCCCAAGTGCCCAGCCAGTGTTCTAACCTCCAGGCCTTCTTCACTCCACCAGCCACTCTGAACCCTCGCTAGGTAGGTCCAGGAGAGGAGGCATGAGCATGCAGCCTCAGAGGCTGAGGAGCCATGGCCCCTACTGCCATTGCTCCTGGGCAAGAAGGTTTGACAGCTTCTTATTCGAACCCTAACCTAGAACCAGCCAAAACAGCTCTGACATATTTGTTTCCCATTTTTTCGGAAAAGTTGGAAATGTTGACCAAAAATATTTTTTTCATCAACATGTCAACTAGCCCAATTCAAATGCTTTCCTCTTCCAATATCTACCTAGTCTAGTGCCACCTGTTGGAGATCTCGTGGAACTACAATGGGAGTTGAAGGAGTGAGAATGAGGTTTGGACATTTTTGGCTGATCCCAGAAGAATGTGCTATCACCTATTCAGCTGGCTGGGAACACCCACTGGGGTGAGGGGGTGCTCAGTACTCTCAGGACAACCCCCTGTTTTAGATGTGCCCAAAGTTTCTGGCAAACTTCTTGCTGAGCTGAAAATGTCCAGGCTTCGCTCCACCCAAAGAGAGATTTCTTTTAAAAGCCACCGGATCTTGTTAGCCTTTGCTGAGACATGGAGCCTCCGTGTCATGAGTCTGAGCAAAGCTTTCCAATGGTTTCCGTGCTCTCAGGTGGCTGCTCCTCACTGAGGACTAGGGCCCTCTGCAGGCTGCAAAAGCAGCATGTGCATGGAAGGTGGGAAAGCAAGGAGGGGGACATTGAACAGGAGCCAGCGGTGGGATCTGGGGAAGAAGGCGGCTGTGATTTTGCACGGGAGGGATAACAAGGACCAACTTCCCTTTTCCCACCCGCTCTCTTGCTCCCTCCCCCTACACTGACCCGTGACGTTCTTCCGCAGCTCGTCATCCTGCTCGCGCAGCGTCCTCATCAGCTCATAGATGCCGTTCTCCTCCACCAGCGCCAGCTTGTTCTCAGCGTTGTCGTAGATGAAGTTGCGCATGGCGCCAGTGGCATGGCGCTGCACCTCCTGATTGGAGCAGTTGAAAAGCTTCACCAGCTTGGGCACGGCCTGGAGGCTGCGAGCCTGGAAGGGAGGGGGGGTGGCGGGTGAGAAGGGGGCCGGGCCTGCAGACCCAGGAGTCTTCCCCTGGGTCACCACTAGCTCATGTTCATGGGAGGCTCCCCACAATGCACAGCAGGACCTCTGGGGACACCGCCAGGGTCACAGCCTGGCTAGAGTGGCTGCTGCAGAGTTGTGTTCTCCCCTCCCCCCGCCCCCAGCCAGCCCGGCGTGGCGTCTGTGTCCCCACCCCACCATGCACCCATCCCCCTCCACACCTGCTTCTTGGCGTCATTGTCACTGTAGCACTTGTGCTGGATGTAGGCAGCTCCCAGCACCTGCAGGTTGGGGTCGTTGGCCATCAGGTATTTCACTGCCGACGGCAGGTCAATGTCGTCAAACCTGGGAACCGAGGGAGGGTCCTGAGTGGCTAACGCGGGCCCAGGCTGCCCTCCCAGCAGAGCAGAGAACGTGGGACATGGTGCAGCCAGGAGCCCCCACCCCAAGCCCTGCCCCCCCTTCACCGGGCCCACGACACGTGGTTGCCCACCTCTGGTCCAAGATGACTGGTCAGGGCAGCACTTCTTCAGCTCCCACCATGCAGCTGCTCACCCTGCCCTTAGGGGGGACTGCTGAGGACGATGTGCTATGCCCAGAGCCAAGCGGGCCGTGGCCATACACTGCAGTCCATGGCCGTGCTAGCTCTGGAAGCAGCAGGGCCCCAGTCAGTCCTTTGCCACAGCATCAGTCCTGCTGGGACACGTCGCCCCACTCTGCTTTGCTGCTGTACCTGATGGGTGAGCTGCAGAACTCACCTCCTGAATGGGAGGGCATCAGGCAACAGCTCGATCCCTTAGCCATGGGTTCCCAAACTGGGGGGCGTGCCCCTCTGGGGGGGCATGAAGAAATTCCAGGGGGGGCACGAGGCGACCCAGCCACACCCCCACCCCTATCAATCCCACCCCAAGTTTTGCTGCTATTTTTTTGGGGGGGAGGGTGGAAGGATTTCTCAAAAATCAAAAAGGGGGTGTGATGCCAAAAATCAAAAAGGGGGTGTGAGTTTGGGAGCCACTCGCTGCCTAAGACGGAGGGACAGTCACTCTCCAAACTAGGGATATAATAGCGTAGTCAATTAACCGATAAGCAAAAGCTTATAAACTACACCCATTCCCCTGCTCCTTGCCAGTAAACTTTTTATCAGGTTGGCCAGCAGCCCGGCTCAGCCCTGGCTCATGCCAGATTCGGGTCCTATCTCCTCTGCAGCTCTTCATTTAAAGTGTATTAGGAGCCAGGCAAGCAGGCGGCCCGGCTCAGTTCCAGCTCACACAGGATCCAGGAGCTCAGAGGCTGCTGCCACCCCATGCTGCTGCCTCTGTAGCAGAGGCAGCAGGGCAGGGC